GTGTTAACAAAGAGAGACGTGCAAAACATGCAGAGCGGGGGTACGTGAGGACTGGGATTGAGAACCGCTGGTCTAGAACAATTCTTACAAATATAACACGACGTAGCTGGGCGCCGCGGAGAGACGCCGAACGGCGCCGCCGGTGTGCCTACACTCATAGAAAATAATGTATTTGAATTTTAAAGACGTGGCGCAATGCTGCGCTTCTCGTTCGGTGCGCGACCGCCTGAAACACTGCTTTTTCACCTCCGTGCCCAAACATCTTTGTTTGGGCTTCCGAAAGAGGATGATGTCCGGAAACAGTGGTTGCAACAGTGGTTGCAAACGGAGCAAGGGGCGTGGCAGTACTGAAACACCATCTAAGCTGTTCACCAATCACAACGCACTGGGACAGCTAACCAATCACAACACATTTTGTTTTTCGGAAGGCGGACCTTCATCAAAGCCGGAACTAATCGAGCCGTTTGTGCCAGCCTGGGGAGAGAGGTATTGTAATAATGTAAATTGTGTGAAAAATAATGCGTTTTTCGAACCACCAAGCATGAGAGCATGTTCTAGTACACCCCCAAAACAAAATCAAGACTTTGTAAAAGAGCATAATAGGACCCCTTTAAACAAAATAAACTATGAATCAGATTAATCAATTATTAATTAGAATCATCTGTTCACGAATCGGATCATGAACTCCGATTCGCATTAACGCACCAAAGGTGATCTATTCTTGAACATTTCGAATGAATAAAGACTTCAAGTTCATCTGTAAAGCACACAAAACTATCGTTTGACTTTATAAACTTTTATTTCATGCATGATTCATATGGATCTGTTAACTGAATGCAAAGTGTGAATTCTAGGAGAATTCTGTGTCATTCAGTTGCTAAATGAAAAGGCTGCTGCACGCAGTTTTTTTTTCAACAGAGAATCAGTTGCCTTATTGGTTGAAATCCCCAAACTGTTAAAATTCAAATATTAAAATTCAAAGTAATCACTTTGGTAATCTAAAATACTTTTCGATTGTAACTGTAATTTGATTACCACCTATTTAAAATGTAATTATAACGAAATACAGTTACTCATATTTAGTATTTTAAATACATAACGCCATTACATGTATTTCATTACTCTCCAGCCCTGCACACACACACACACACACACACACACACACACTAAAAACCAGCAAGTAACACTGAATTGACACACTAAAGTTTAAAGTAGACAGAATGAAACAGCATTTTCTTGTAAGAAGTACTTCAATAATCTTTTTCATAATTTTTTACAGTGTTTTTCAGTATATTTCTATTTTCTATAAGGTTTTCATCTAATGTTTGTATTTTAATTAATTTCAATGATCAAAAATCATTTTGGATTTAGTTAACAATAACAACTCTAGTAAGAATTGGAGACGTTTCATGATCTTATAAAAATAAACACCCTGCTGTTAAATTGAGTTGTACCTTTCAGACCCCCAATGCCATTAGGTCCATGATCACCAACGTCACCAACCGGGCCAGGTGCACCATGAGCACCAGTAGGACCACGAGGAAGGGGATAAGGAGTAGCAGGACGTTTGACAGCCCCAGTCTCTCCTTTTGGCCCTACAAATACAAAGGGAGAAAGAAATTGAAAGTGAGGGCATAAATCATAACTTTACTGATTCATAAGACGGTCAGTTTGATGATCTGAAGGCTCCAATGACCTGGGTCCCCTTTGTCTCCTTTTGCACCACAAAGTCCTGGGGGTCCACAATCTCCTTTGGTGCCAGAAGGTCCCGGGAGGCCCATAAGTCCACATTGTCCTCCTTCACCTGTGGAAAAATAATAATAGAACAACCTGAATGACAAATTGTGAATGTAAAGTGGCCCCAAAATATTTTGGATTCATAAGCTAAACTTTTAATGAAAGCTATTTCCTTTTACCTTTTGGACCTTCTAGGCCGTCAGACCCTAGGAGGCCTCTGGGCCCACTGATTCCTTTTTCTCCTTTATACCCTGGTGACCCAGGACCACCTGGTTCACCAAAATCACCACTCACTGTGAACACCCTGCCTGCCTCTCCTTTCTCTCCCTTGGGCCCTGGAACAGCAAAACATACACCATGCACAATACATAATTCTATGCATAAACACATAGCCTACATATGCACATTACAGCTTGTCTTCCTGATTCGTAGCAGTGCTATCCAACTTAGACCTCAAATTCTATTTGTGCGCATCATTTGTGCTTCCAAATGACCACACACACCTGGAGCTCCATCTGGCCCAGCGTAACCCCGTTCTCCACTAGGTCCAGGTTTAGGAATCTTACATTCTTCACCACGAAAGCCTGCAGGACCCATTGGACCAGGGTCTCCTATATAAAATAAAGAGTGATGACAGTGTGGATTAAAGTAGATCATGAACAGTGTGATTATGCTGCCTGATATTATTTACAATTCTGCTTGTTAAAATATTTAAATTAGCCAACAGTAATATATAAACTAAGTGCACTACCGTTCTAAAACCTTTGTTTGGTAGACATTTTTAAATGTTATGCTTACCAAGGCTACATTTATTTGATTAAATATACAGTAATAACATTAATATTATGAAATATAATTTTTTTTTACAATTTTCTATTTGAAAATACTTTAAAATGTAATTTGTTGTTGGGATGCAAAAGTCATTACTCGAGTCTTCAGTGTCACATGCTGATTTTCCTGCTCAAGAAATATTTCATAACATTATTACACATTATTATTAAACAATAGTATCAATGTTGAAAAGAGTTGTGCTGCTTAATATTTTTGTTGAAATCAAAAAATAAACTTTTTTTTTTTTTTTTACTAAAATCTTAGGTAAATGTCTTTAGTGTCACTAAACATTTAGCAATTTAATGTATCCTTGCTGAATAAAAGAAACTCCTTAAAAAAAAAACCTGTTGAACCGCATTTTTATGAAACCTTAATGGAAGCCTCCTGTACAATCATTCAGCAACTGTCACTATGAGAGGTTATGAATAGGTTGAATAGAATTATGAGTTATGTACCTTGGCCCCCAAGCTGTCCGTTTGGACCTCGAACACCTGTTTGTGATGGACCTTGCAACCCTGGGTCTCCTGGAGTGCCCTTGTCTCCAGCTGGTCCTATAAAGCCCCTATCACCGCTTAAATCCTCTCCTGAAGGACAATGAAAGAGAGGGAATGACAGGGATGTTTTTAATCTGGCAATATCAAAAACTTCTGACAGCACAAACAACCTCGATATCTCACCTCGATATCCCATTTCACCCATGTCCCCCTTCAGGCCATCAAGTCCATGGAGCCCGGGGGGCCCCGGAGATCCTGAAAGTGAAATAATATTAGTTTAAAATGTATACATGATTGTCCCAGTTTTGAAATTAGTGGCAGTTTGTTTGTACACAGCATAAGTAGCCTAACCTCTAAGACCACCGCATCCTTGGTTTCCTTTAGGGCCCGGTTTACCTGGAGGCCCCAGAGGACCTTCTAGACCATGTCTTCCACACGGACCGGAGGGTCCAACCACTCCTGAATACCAGAAGGCACATTAATATGGATTTAAGAAGATGTGCAGTGACAGATGTGTGTATCTGCTAATTCAGAGCCTGATCTATTTTACCTGGATGTCCAGTCAGGCCATTGTTCCCAGGTGGTCCAGGTGGACCAGAGCTCCCCCTAGGCCCTTGTGGGCCAGGGTCACCATAGTCTCCTTTGTCACCAGGGGGAGCTATTGGGGAGAAAGAAAATGTTTTTACAGCACTATCATTTTTTCCAATGCATTTCTGTACTATAGAAATACATATTATAGTACAAGAACGAAAGAGGACAGTAGGTTGAACGTTACCTGACACGCCTGTGTATCCGCATGGCCCTCTCTCACCTGTTGGTCCTGGCCCACCAGTAGATTCCCCTTTGTCACCTATACAAGACAGTACAAGGAGGTTTTGCAATTAATATAACTTCAAAGAAGAGTCAAATGTGCAGATTGAATATAACACGATTGTGTAGTTGTTGTATGGGTCATACTGTAGGTTTGAATATGTACACGTACACCTTTCAAAGGTTTGGAGCCAGAATGGTATTGTTTTGTTTTTTAAAGAAACTGATACTTTTATTCAACAAGGATGCATCTAATTGATCAAAAGTGACAGTTAACACCAACTGATTATAAGATTATATTTCAAATAAAGATTATATTTCAAATAAATTATATTCTTTTAAACTTTCTATTCATCAAAGGATCCTGAAAAATGTTCACAGTTTACACAAAAATATTGAAGCACAACTGTTTTTAACATTAATAAGAATAAATGTTTCTTGAGCATATTAGAATGATTTCTGAAAGATCATGTGACACTAAAGACTGGAGTAATGATGCTGAAAATTCAAGCTTTGCCATCAAACAAATAACTGACATTTTAAAATATATTAGAAAACACTTATTTTAAATTTGAATAATATTTAACAATATTAGCTCTTTTCATGTATTTTCAATCAAATAAATTCAGCCATGGTGAGCATAAAAGACCTCTTTCAAACACAATTAAAAAAAATGACTGATTCCAAACTTTTGAAGGGTTGTGTTGGTTTGAGTATGCAAAGTTTCAAGCATTGTATTTTACCTTTAGGACCATCAAACCCAGGGAAACCAGGGTTTCCTGGCAGACCAGACATTCCAGGATCACCCTACAAAGAAACAAGCATTAATGCCTATGATTTACATATAGTTACAGTTAATTTTTCATTAGTCTTGTTTATGTAAGCTATCTATATCTGTCAGGACAATCAAACCAACAACAAAATTAAAATAATTTGGCAAGAATTAAATAATAAGATTCATATTCAAAAAAGAACTTCCACTCACTGGATCACCATTATCCCCTGGGAATCCTACAATTCCCTTTGGCCCATGTTGCCCACGTGCACCAGGCTCGCCAGACAACCCAGGAACGCCTGGCGCTCCACGCTGGCCACTTTCAAACCCTGGAGGTCCATTATGTCCAGGATACCCTGGTTGTCCAGGCGGCCCTGGGTCACCTTTATTACCTGCAAGTAAACCACATGATGCGGTGAAGGTTTCTTTTTAAAGGTTAAAAACCAATACAGGATTTGAGTATTTGTTACAGATTTACCCCTTTCTCCAAAGACCCCATTCTCCCCATTAAGTCCAGGTGGCCCTAGCTGGCCTTTCACAGGCACTGAAATCATGTCTCCCGGAGGTCCTGGAGGCCCAATGTATCCTTTAAAAAAACAGAAAACATATAAGAACATGTGTATTTGATTCATTTAACTGCCATCATTACATTAGACCTGACCTAAAGCATGACAATATGGTATATCACAGTGTTTTCAAGTACCTTTCTGGCCCTTGGCTCCGTTTACCCCTGGGCAAGCTGGATATCCATTGAGACCCCTAAAGCCTTTCGGTCCAGGAGCCCCTAAAGGGCCAGTCTTCCCTATGTTGCCAGGATAGCCATCTTGACCAGGAAATCCAGGCAAACCTGAGTTGCAATACCACATGACAAATGAGAATCTGACAGCCACTGACAGCCTTTTTGTATTTATCTCTAAATATCTATATAAAATATATTTAAATGGAAATTTGATATAACACACTTCAAAAACTAAATACATTTCAGTGTTAAATCTAATGTCTACATTAATTCAGTATATCTTTTTTTTTATATTAACTATTAATATTAACACCATAATAATGGCACTTAATGTAAACATTATTTTTATTAATAATAATTTATAAGTATTAACAAATTAATGTTTTTATTCAGCAAGAATGCATCAACTTTCTATTCATTAAAAAAATCCCCTCTCCCCGCCCCATATTCAGCAACTGTTTTCAACTTTGAAAATGCGAAATATTTCTTGACCTGAAAATCAGCATATTAGAATGATTTATGAAGGATCATGTGACACTGAAGACTGTAGTCATGGCTGCTAAAAATTTAGCATTGCTTTACAGGAATAAATTACATTATTAAGTAAATTATCATTTAAAAAATTTTTTTTCACTGTAATAATATTTCACAATATTACTGTATTTTGTATTATATAAAAGCGACCTTGGTGAGCAATGAGCATAAGAGACTTCTTTCAAAATGGTAGTGTATACACTGTAAAGCTACCATTAACGGTAACATCCATCTTAACTGTAAATATGTTCCATTTAATCAAAATGTTGCAAACCAGAGTTAGCGATTTGTTTAAATGTCACGTCACACTCTTTTTACCCTTTGGTCCAGGGGCTCCAGGGTTTCCACTGTCCCCTTCGAGTCCTGAAGGTCCCTGAAGGCCTGTGCGTCCCTGATAGCCTGGGGTACCAGGTTTACCACGTTCTCCTTTGGCTCCAATGCTTTGAGATCCCGCCCCCCCAGGTGGTCCTTTCTCTCCAGGGCAGCCTAACACCGAAAAGTGACAGTAGGCGCGTTTCCATTACCCTTCAAATTGCGCAAATTGAAATTGCGAATTGAGAATATGCCTAATGGAAATGCGTCAATTTCGCAAAAACTCCCATATATCGCAAAAATGTTTTTACGCTCGCTGAGGTGGTTTTTCAGGCAATGCGAAAAAGGAATAATTCGCAAAACTGCAATGGAAACGTTTTTTTTTTTTGCATTTGCAGGTCACATGGCGTACCTAAAAAGTCATATGATCATTCTTCAATGTACTATAACCTCCAAGAAACACTTTTCTCTCCAGGGCAGCCTAACACCGAAAAGTGACAGTAGGCGCGTTTCCATTACCCTTCAAATTGCGCAAATTGAAATTTTTTTTTGCATTTGCAGGTCACATGGCGTACCTAAAAAGTCATATGATCATTCTTCAATGTACTATAACCTCCAAGAAACACTTCATACGTGGTGGCTCTCCAGTATAAGGGGCTTTCCCTAATGTTAATGCTTAGATAATTTACACTGCACATGTCTGCGGTGCAGTGTGGCTCTGATACGGCCACTGAAGCTGATTGCGGCCACTAGCAATGCTTGTGATTATTCCAGCCGTGCCACGCACGTTTCTGAAGCGGCTCTTTGTGCTGCTTCTGTAAAGATACACGCATACACCTCATTTCAATAAATATAGCCAGAATCCCACCAAAATCCGTTGCAACAACTTATCGCGAGAGGCAAAAGGTTATGTTTTAGTCACATAACATTGGTTAATTGAAACGCTGTCATTTCGAAATACTTTTTTATCGACATTTATAAAATATCGGCAAAGTTTTGAGCAAATCTGTAATGGAAACACGCCTATTATTACGAGAACAATCTCAACAAGCTTCTGTTCATACAATGGTCTCTACTCACCTCTCTGTCCAGTGAAGCCTGGTGGTCCTGGTTTACCAGGTGGACCAGCTTGTCCTTTGTCACACAGCTCTGGTCCCCCACCTGGGCAACCAGGTGCTCCTGGTGTACCATCCATTCCTGTTTCCCCTTTTCTACCAGGAAGTCCAGGGACTCCAGATGCACCTGCAGAAAAAGTCTTTAATTAATAAAATTAATATTGATGGACTTTCTGGGATATTTTCAAATCCTAAAACCTTTATTTAATAACCCTTAAATACTATTTTCTTTATATCCTAACCTCCAAGAAACACTTCATACGTGGTGGCTCTCCAGTATAAGGGGCTTTCCCTAATGTTAATGCTTAGATAATTTACACTGCACATGTCTGCGGTGCAGTGTGGCTCTGATACGGCCACTGAAGCTGATTGCGGCCACTAGCAATGCTTGTGATTATTCCAGCCGTGCCACGCACGTTTCTGAAGCGGCTCTTTGTGCTGCTTCTGTAAAGATACACGCATACACCTCATTTCAATAAATATAGCCAGAATCCCACCAAAATCCGTTGCAACAACTTATCGCGAGAGGCAAAAGGTTATGTTTTAGTCACATAACATTGGTTAATTGAAACGCTGTCATTTCGAAATAATGGAATGGAAACACGCCTATTATTACGAGAACAATCTCAACAAGCTTCTGTTCATACAATGGTCTCTACTCACCTCTCTGTCCAGTGAAGCCTGGTGGTCCTGGTTTACCAGGTGGACCAGCTTGTCCTTTGTCACACAGCTCTGGTCCCCCACCTGGGCAACCAGGTGCTCCTGGTGTACCATCCATTCCTTTTTCCCCTTTTCTACCAGGAAGTCCAGGGACTCCAGATGCACCTGCAGAAAAAGTCTTTAATTAATAAAATTAATATTGATGGACTTTCTGGGATATTTTCAAATCCTAAAACCTTTATTTAATAACCCTTAAATACTATTTTCTTTATATCCTATTGCTGTTTGCCAGATATTATTCAAGTCTCAATGTCTCAATGTAGTACCTTGCAATCCAATTGACCCAGGAGATCCAGGGACACCTTTAGGGCCCTGACATCCCTGAATACCACCGGGCCCCATCTGTCCTGGGGCCCCTGTAGTAGAGTCTCCAAAAGACCCTTTCAGACCCTGGGGTCCACGATTACCAGGTGTGCCAGGTGAGCCACTAATACTGGTGCCATCTGGCCCAGTGTCACCTGGATCTCCTAAAGATCCAACTGGACCTGCGGACGAGATTGCAGGGATATTAGATTTTTGTAATACTTTACAATTTGACGCGCTCTAGTCGAGTTGATACTGTGGGTATATCATGCGGACATAGAATAATTAATAAATGCATGTTGAATAAAATCAAAGAGGGTTTATTCAAAGATTTAGAAACATTCAAAAAATTTTACAGAAATGTTTTTAAATACACCAAAACCTTAAATTATTTTCTCTACCTTGAAATCCTGCTAACCTACTATCGCCAGGATTTCCACTCTCTCCCTTGGGACCATCTGGTCCAATTTGTCCTTTGCATCCTGGATTTCCAAGCTGACCTATCTCACCTGGAAGAAAACATGAAGGTTTTGGTCATATACTGTATCTGATAACAATCATCAGTGCTGTGATATTTCTACTTTGAGAATTGGGTACTTTTCAATTTAGTAGTTTAAGAGAAATGCTTTTTAAAGAAATTCTAAGAGTCCAAAACAGGCTTCATTAGTTCAATACACATTTTGCAACAAAACATCAACTAAGTCTGACTAATTATTCCATGTTTGCTCTTGATAAGTAGCGTACATTTGAAATTTGAGAAATTAAGATCAAATTTATTTCAGATTTACAATTATTTCTCTAATTTATCTATCAAAGTAATTACCATTCACACATTTTCCCACAGATTTTGCGACCACTAAATGTCAACCACATTGTTTTCAATTAATTTTAAAAACATCAATAAAAATATCCAAATTTGAATCTATTGGTTATATCATGTACTGAGTTATAACCACAAAAGTGCACTAATCCCAAAAATTGGTACCATTTAGAGAATGATTGTATATAGAATGTCAGATCTAGAACTAAAATTGGCACCCAATAATGAGCAAAAATAAGTAAAAATATAATCTATAAAATAATTAACGTATAACAAAAACTTATGATTTTATTTTTTACACTTTACACTTTAAAGGTACAATACTCTTATTCAATTTAATATTAAATACTCTTTTACAATACTCAGTTCCTCTTATTCCTTCAGTTGTATCATTTCTTTTTTCAACCAAACTGAGAGAACTCTCACTCTTTCATTCAGAAATTATTTCAATATATATTTACCTTTACGACCAGGCATTCCTTTAGAACCTGGGGCTCCATGTATGCCAGGTTCACAGGGCAGGGCATCACCTATTAAAAAAAAAAAAAAAAAAATCAAGAAATTCTCACTGACCTCAAACATTTACACATCAACATATTTCAACATCCTCCATCCTGACATTTGTTTTCAATAAATTGTATTTATAGTGGATAGCAAAACCTTACTCAGCTTACTGAATGCCTTACTTACCTTGAACGCCTTTAGGACCAGGGGGCCCTGTCTGACCTTGAGGTCCTGGTTCCCCTGGTTCTCCCCGTCGCCCCACTGACCCCATCATATTAGGGCCAGGAGGACCAGGTGGACCTCTGAGGCCTTTTACCCCAGCAGCTCCTGGACACCCCCTGTCACCCAGCGGACCAACAACACTATCTCCCTGGAAAGGAAATAAAGTTTTTTTTTTTTTTTGTAGTAAAATAATTAATGATTGTAAATTACTGTATATATAAATCATCCTAAATATATACACAGTATATATATATATATACACACACACACATCTATGCATACGTTGCTAAATGTATGGAAAGGGTCATTAGTTATCATCTAAAACCATATGTATCAGAGCACCTAGATAAGCCACAAAGAGGGACAGAGCATGCTATGCTCACTATGGTTGATACAACTGCAAAGAGTTTATATTAGTTTAATTGAAAGTATTTTAGGGTATAATATAATGGTTTGGTTTGGGCGAATAATGTCTGTAAATAACAGTATTATAAGAATGGCAAGCAAAATAATAGAGTTTAAGCAAAAATCGATTGATCAGCTGTATAATATGGCAGTTAGGAGGAAAGCTCTGGCTATAAGTGGAGATACAACATACCCTCTGAACTATGCCTTCGAATTGTTACCATCTGGATGCTGTTATTGGACACTGAAGGCAACTAAAGCAATATATAAACAAACCTTTGCGCCATACACAATAAGTCTGTGTAATGTATTACGTATTGTATTGATATGTAAATTGAACTGTCATTGTGGTATGTAAGCAAGACCTAAGACTAATTTTCAGCCAAGGCTGAACAATAAAGTAACTAACTAACTAAATATATATATATATTTACATTTAGTCATTTAGCAGACGCGACTTACAAATGAGGACAAAAGAAGCAATCAAATCAACAAAAGAGCAATAAAATGCAAGTGCTATGACAAGTCTCTGTTAGCCTAACGCAATACACGTAGCAAGGTTTTTTGTTTGTTTTTTAAAGAAAACAAGCAGTTAGAAAACGAAAAGAGATATAGTTTGCAAGTGTTAGAGGGTCAGGTGTTTTTATTTTTTCATTATTTTCATTGTTCTTTCGAAGTGACCATTTCAATGAATCAGTGAATCAAAACAATTTGTTTGCATCATGACTCCAAAATGTAAAAAAAAAGTCTGTTATGTGTGTGTAATGTTAATTTCGTTAAAGAAAACTATGATGAAAAATGTTCCTTGACGAGCTTTTTCCCCCCGACTAAAATGAGACAATGACGAGACAACAATAAGGTCAATAAATGATAACTGTGATCTAGGGCTGTCAAAATGGCTGAATAACTAAATTCGAAATTTGTATCAAAATATTATCAATATTTGAATTATATTCAAATTTAGAAGGCATAATTTCTTTTAGGGGGAAAAAGCTTTTGGCTTATCTCCTGAGGCCATAAGAGGGCGCATTGAGCAAAATATTACTAATGCAAGTTTCTTCTAAGCAATAAAACAACATAACTATCTTTGAAAAAAGTGCATAATGTTTAAAATAATGTTTATAAACAATATATAATTAATTACGTTGCTTAACAATTAGAAACAAAACAGCACCATGTACAGTATGTATACAGTATGTATAGTTTAATACAAATCTACAAAACACATTTTTATTTTAAAATAAAAAGGAGACAATTTTACAATTTTGCAATATTATTGCGTACTGCTGTACTACGTAAGCTTTCATGTGTGTGGTTGCCAGATATCAAGACTTCAAATCTTCGAATCAGAGATTCTCTGTTAAAAGGATACATTTTCTGCTCAGTGTTTTGCAAAATTTTGGCAATCTGACAACCATGCGCACGCGCTTGATCTTCATTGCGAAAGCACCAAAGATGATCTGAAAACACCGCCAAACAAGTAAGCTGAAGTTTAGCGACCTCCATGTGAGATATTCTGCTTAAATGAAATTTCATTCTGTGTCAATCAGCTGGTCTGTGTTCTGTCATGAGATCTCGACTATTTTGTTTATGATTGTGGTTTCTGAATAAATGTACCTGTTCTTTTAATAGAGAAACATTATTGCAATTTGGAATTATTGGAATTACTATTAGACATTTCAATATATAAAATATAATATAATATCGAGAAATATTATTACACTTTAAAATAACTGTTTTCTACTTTAATATATTTTAAAATGCAGTTTATCCCTGTGATGGTAAAGCTGAATTTTCAGTAGCCATTACTCAAGTCTTCAGTTTTACATGATATTCAGAAATAACTTTGCATGGTAGTATGTACAGTACTACTTTACACCTATCTATGACTTTTTTAAATTAAATTTTATAATTGTTTACATGTCTTACCAGAGATCCAGGATCTCCAGGGGCACCCATTTTCCCATCAGCCCCTTTCCTCCCATTATACCCTGGTTTTCCAGATGGTCCAACAGATCCCGTGCCACCTTTCTCCCCTTTAACATAATGCAAACATTTCTGATAACTGCATGTCAGTTGTATGCAAAATAAAGATGACAGATTTTATAGATAATTTAAGAAAAATCAGAAGAAACATGAAACTTTAAATCACAATTCTGACATAATGCTCTGGGATAAAAAACAAAACAAAAAACAGCATTATAGTTTCATTATCAGGCATTTAACATCATATCAGTTCATGCTGTATTATAATATAGAACCTATCCTTAGATGTTAGACCATTTTGGATGAGTCTTAAAATGAACAAAAAAACAAAAAAAAATCCATTAACTGCGAATATGCTTCACCCTTTTTGCAGATCACCATAACTTCTCCTTTCTCTCCTTTAAGCCCTCTGACACCTGTGAAGCCTCTGGGACCCTGAGAAACAACAAGAGACACAAACAACAACAAAAAAGATTAATTACACACACAAGCACAATACAAACATATTGAATTTCAACCAGGTTTACGTACAGTTACACCTCTCCCACCCATCTCTCCGATGAATCCGTCATCACCAGGAGGACCCCGGAACCCCTTTTGCCCTGGATCACCACGGAAACCCGGAGGGCCTGGGGGGCCAGGATGACCAGGTAGATCACCAAGGGGCTCGCATGCACATCCCCCAACAGGGCCTGTAAGGAAACACAAAGAATATAAGAACATGTGCTCATACTTGGGTTAGAAAAGATGTGCTCTTTGCCGCCTCCTATTGGACGCTGATACACACTACACATAACTTTACAGTTGGGACAAAAGAACCAAAAATAATCAGCACCACGGACAGCACCAGAAAAAGATGCAGTATTTGGACAATTAAGTCACATCTAAAAGTGTATGATTAATATTATATTTTATAACAAAATATCAAAAAAAGCACATTTTAAGCAAAACATTTACAGTAACGTTTGACAACAAAATATGTTCTGTTCAAAAAAATACTCTCTGGTTTAACTGACTTAAAGGTTTTAGGTAAGAATTTTTTTATGGTTTTGAAATACGTCTCTTATGATGCATTTATTTCAGTATTGTGTAATATTAATTAGTCTTGTGAAATAACATTAAAATTTAAAATAACAGTTTAAAAAAAATACAATTTTATACATTTTAAAATGTAATTTATTCCTGTGATGCCAAATCTGATTACTCAGCAGCCATTACTCTAGTCTTCAGTGTCACATGATCCTTCAGAAATCTAATATGCTGATTTTATTATTATCAAATGTTTTAAACAGTTGCTTATTTTTGTGGAAACTGTAAAAGAAAGTAAAAAAACAGCCTTTATTAAAAATAAAAATCTTTTGTAACATTATGTCTTTACTGTCACTTCTGATCAATGTATTGCAGTATTAATTTCTTAAAAAGAAAAATCGTACTGACCCCAAACCTTTGAACAGAAAAAAAAGTAATCAAAGTTTTAGAAAAAAGAAAAAGCTAGTTCTACGAGAAAAAAAATGCATTGTTTGCAGACACCACTTGGTTTGATATTTTGAATCTAATAGAATGGCATTCACACAGGTATATAATTCTTTATATAAATATAAGTTTATATGTCAATGTATGAAAACTCACCTTTTCTCCCCTGAACACCTTTTAATCCAGGGGGTCCTCTATTTCCAACCTGTCCAGATTCTCCACGCTCACCAGGCACGCAGTAGTAACCTGTATCCCAGACAGTTACTCTCATCACAGTGTATTAGCTGTATTTCTTTAGAATGATAGCTCTTAAAGTTGCATGCCTTATCTATCTAAGTATTATGTTACATGTATAAAGGTGTTGGATAAATGTATGTAGCATGTGACTGTCAAAACATTATGCTCACCGCAAACTGTTCACTCGAAACACATGACGAGACAAATGTTGACACCGTAACAGGATGGACACACACACACAAAGACAACATGCAAGCAGGCAAACAAAGAAGGATGACATGCTTGAAGAACATACAATAACTTCAGTGATGATGCACACACATCGACATTATCAATAATGTCAACAAAATGAGACATAGGTTAGTGTGTCTACACTAAACACGCAAAATGTTTTATTAATATTAATAACAAATGAAATGAAAAGATAAAAAAATTACAAAAGACATCTCCGTGACAAAAGGCAATTATGAAAAGTAAACAAAAGCATTATTGGAACTAAGTAAACACTTACATGCTCTCAAATGTCTAATTATATAGACATTCTCCAACATGCATTTTATACAGGTATGTACAGATACTTTGATGTGACTCAATCACATCAGTTTGTCAGGGCTGGTTAAGACAGACAACAGAAAAATCCACATCCACTCACCAGGATTACCAGGAATTCCATTTTGTCCTTTGGGTCCAGTAGGGCCACGTTTTCCAGGTTCCCCTAGAGGAAGAGCGATTATATGTTATTAAATTATATTAAAAAAACATAAAAATCTATTATTCTCTCTCGTTTTTGACATTTACATTGTAAGAGTGAGAAAACAGTACACTACAGTACAAATGTTTGGGGGGTCAGAAAGGTTTTTTATTTAAATGTATTTATTTTTTTTAAAGAAAGGATGTATGAAGTTGATTAAAGGCATCAGAAAAGACATTTCTAAATGTTATTAATTAAGTAATTATACTTTAAATAAATGCTGCTCTTTGAACTTTCTATTCATCAAAGAATCAACAAATCAACAAATGTTAAAACAAATGTATAACAACAAACTGGTTTCTTGAGCAGCAAATCAGCATTCAAGACCAATTATATATTTGCTTATGCATTTAATTATATATGGACCAACATATACATATGCCAACACACACATACATATATATATATATATATATATACACACACACACACACATAATTACACACATTTCCCCATTTCAGGTATTAAAGATTTTTTTTTATTATTTTCCATTCTACGCAGTACTTATTGTGTTTTGGACAAAACAGCAGATCTCTGAAAAAGATTATGAATAAATACACATCTACTTACAGCTTTTGAGTCCCTCAAATCCCATTAATGACTACGAATATACAACTTATGTAATTTCATATATGCTTAAAGCCAAAAACGGTGATGAAAATGTACCTTCAGTTCAAAAAAATTAAAAAATTCCAGCTTTTTACGATTGCCCCTAACAAGTCAGTCACACGAATAATACAATAACTCTTTCAAATCATTATAATGTCTAGGAAAATGCATATTGAAAATATTTTGGTAAGTAAACATAAAAAAATCTGAAATATTACCATAGTTTAAGTATGACCCGTATATTTTTCCTGGGTCACCTTTTTCTCCTTTGAGTCCATTAAGACCCTGCAAACCAGATTCACCCACTGGACCTAAAAGCAGAGCAGAGTTAGAAAGAGAATCAAGAAAAGAAAGAAAAACCCGCACTAAGACATCTAAGTTTATAAATACCATACATAAATGACATTTAAGATATTTCAGACCTCTTATAGATGCTCCTGGATCACCAGAGGGTCCAGGTATACCCATCGCCCCTCTATCCCCAGGAAGTCCGGCTGCACCAGGAAGCCCACGATCTCCAGTTGGTCCTAGAGCACACATTAAAAAATCATAAGATTTTATAATACACAAATTTAAAAACTTGTTAAATTAAATATTATATTTATATATGTATATTATATTATACATTTGATATATAAAAATGCAATGATATCTAAAAACTCTTCAAACAGACCCACCTCATCTGAAACTCTCAATATAAAGAATTCTAGTTTGCACTGCTAATTTATTTAAGAAATAAAGTGACACAATCTTCATGGTAAATACTGTACCTAACCACAGACAGTACAGTACATTTCACATGTCTTTGTGTTTGATATAATGTTAACTCTATTACCCATCATATTGTTGTAATGGTATTTTGGGTTTCCTTTAGGTCCGGGGTCTCCTGAGTAGCCCTGTTACACATTCACAGCACCAGTGTCAGCAAACAAATCACAATATACTGCAAGTAGATAACTCTTACTAAATCAATTTCTTTCATACAACATCTAGTCAGAATGTGTGCCTGACCTTTGGCCCTGGGTTGCCATATAGACCAGGGAGACCATTATCCCCTAGTGCTCCCTGTATATGTAAAAACATAACATCAGAAGTGACAAACAGTATAATTCAACAAACCTATCATTTCAAAATAAATAAATCATTATTAATAGTAAATTATGAATGATTAAAAAGTGTACCTTAAGTCCTGGAAAGCCATTTCTTCCTGGATATCCAGGCAAGCCCTAATGTTTTAAAAAATACAACAACATACTGTACATAATTGAAAAAGTAAAAGAATGAAGGTAAGAGTTTTGGTTATTAAATTAGTTTTCTAACTTCTTTAAAATGAACTCATACTTGCACAATCTGAATATGTGACCCTGGACCACAAAACCAGTCTCAAGTGTTAATTATACATCATCTGAAAGTCGAATAAATAAGCTTTCCATTGATGTATGGTTTGTTAGGATAGGGCAATATTTGGTCGAGATACAGCTATTTGAATATTTGGAATCTGAGGGTGCAAAAAAATCTAAATATTGAGAAAATCGCCTTTAAATTTGTCCAAATGATGTTCTTAGCAATGCATATTACTAATGAAAAATTAAGTTTTGATATATTTACAGTAGGAAATTTACAAAATATCTTCATGGAACATGATCTTTACTTAATATCCTAATGATTTTTGGCATAAAAGAAAAATCAATCATTTTGACCCATACAATGTATTTTTGGCTATTGCTACAAATATACCCCAGCGACTTAAGACTGGTTTTGTGCTCCAGGGTCACATATGTGAAATGAGAGGAATTCGATGTTTAATCCTGATCATTTAATTGGTTAGTCTGGAATGTTTTGATTGGTTGGTTTGGAATTCTATGATTGGTGAAATGAGAGGAATTCGATGCTTAATCCTGATAATTTAATTGGTTAGTCTGGAATGTTTTGATTGGTTGGTTTGGAATTCTATGATTGTTTGTTTTTGAGTGTTATGACAGGTTGAATTTTTGTTATTAGACAGATGGTTTGTAGTCTTATCTGTTGGTTTGAGGTGTTATGTTCGGCTGGATTGTGGTGTTGGTTTGTAGTGGATCAATTGATATGGAAACTAGTGAATAATCTTACTCTTTGACCAGGTAAACCAATTATGCCTTTCTCTCCTTTTTCTGCTGGAGGCTCTTCAAGACCCTGAGAAACACAAAAATGAATGTAAAACCACATTAATGAGCTTCAGCTAACACAGGTCACATATCAGGGCTTGCTATGTGAGTTCAGAAGTTATTAGGACTAATAAATTCAAATAAATATGCAGCAATACTCACCTCTGGGCCAGGTGCTCCACAAATTCCTTTTTGACCTTTCCTCCCCTACAAAAAAAGTTATAAAATTCCACCATCATTTTCTCCTTGGAAGCTGCCTGGCATCCTCAACAGCTGAAAACTTTTTTCACATATGGACGTTTTACCTTTTCGCCTTTCACATAGTCTTCTGGGTTGGGCTCCACATATTCAAAAGGACCTGGTTTACCCTGTTTCCCCTGTTCCCCCTGTAAGAGAATCAAGATGATGTTGTTAAACACAAATTCAAGTATGATATAAAGCCAGCACTGCCAAGTGCGTTATTTACCTCATCTCCTTTTGGTCCAGGCAGTGAACTTCCTGTGTCTCCCTATGGACAAACGAACAAAATATAATTCAAGAAGATTTTAAATAATCAAAAACGGCTTCATATTAATGCACAGGCAACAGAAGAACAAGCAGAAGTGCATGTTAAATGAAAGATGCTAGAAGTCTAGGGCTGCTGCACTCAAACAAAGATTTTCAGGTTTTCAAATCTGAGCTAATAAACTGTAAACTTCAGATAGGGAAACTTCTCAGTGAATCTTCATTTTCATAGGCATGCACTTGCAAAACTCACCGGTAGGCCTCTTGGACCTGGTAATCCTTGAAAGCCCTATAATTAGAAAAAAACATTAAATGAAATAAAACTAAAATATTTTTAAAAAGTATATTTTTGGTGAGCATAAGATACTCTTTTCAAAAACATTTTACAGTGATCTTTTGAATTTTGCAAAAAACAAAAACAAAAAACAGAATACATACATTATTATATAATTATAGTATGGATGAATAAAAAATGGTGCTATTTGAAGAGTAAATGCTTTTCTCACCATAAATCCATCAGGTCCCATTCCTCCTGGTGGACCTTGTGGGCCAAAGACCCCTTTTAGCCCCTTTGTGCACATGCAAACACAGACACACACAAACAAAACAAACCTAACTAATAAATAAAACTGCACTTAATACATTATAGCTTATATAAGGACTTTTGCATAAGGTTTTTTTGCACTTAGTACATACTGCTGGTCCAGGTATTCCAGGTAGTCCATCGACACCCTGTGAATGAGGATAACAGAATTGTTGAGTATAAAAAGATGATAAAGTATCTCTAAATAAAACAACAAAACTACAGAAGTATTTTACTGTTTAAGAAATCAGCTTTTATATTTGATTTTATATGACACAACAATGCTCAACCTCCGGACTGCATGCAGAATATAGTCAGTAGTAATAAAATATAAACCCATAAACTCATTTTTTGGAATTATACATACAGGTGTTCCAGGAAGGAACCTTGTCCTTGTAAATGCGTCTCCTTTGGCTCCTTTTAACCCAGGTAGTCCCTGAAACAAGCAAAAAATTAAAAACAAATGGAGTCGTGGACATCATTTACTGCAGGAATGAACACACTGAAAGAGCCCAGTCAACACAAAAGATAAAATACAAATTTCTTGTAACATTTCTCATACCATTGGTCCTGGGAAGCCAGGTCGTCCTATCTCACCATTCAACCCACGCTGCCCTCTGGTTCCATTACAGCCATCCTTCCCTGGAAGCCCCGGAAGACCACCAGGCCCTGGATGACCCTGGAAGATTATTGTAATATAATATAATATAATAAATATAATATAATATAATATATACATGCTGTCTAGTTTTTATATCTATATCTATCTATATCTATACCTATATACATATATATATATATATATATATATATACATACATACATACATACACACACACACACACACACACAGAGCATTTCTATTGTTGAATATTTCATACTACAGAGTGTCACTTACAGGCACTCCACCTAATCCAGCATAGCCTTGATCTCCTTGAAATCCCTAACACAAAAGAATGCAACAGAATGAAAGCCCTTGTATTGAGTTTTCTAAGAATTGTTTGTGGGTGAGTGTGTATTTCTATGTACTTGGTCTCCTTCCGGGCCAGAGAGCCCAGGCAAGCCTATGAGTCCACGTTGACCCTTTTCACCACGAAGTCACATACATACATACATACATACACACACACACACACACACAGAGCATTTCTATTGTTGAATATTTCATACTACAGAGTGTCACTTACAGGCACTCCACCTAATCCAGCATAGCCTTGATCTCCTTGAAAGCCCTAACACAAAAGAATGCAACAGAATGAAAGCCCTTGTATTGAGTTTTCTAAGAATTGTTTGTGGGTGAGTGTGTATTTCTATGTACTTGGTCTCCTTCCGGGCCAGAGAGCCCAGGCAAGCCTATGAGTCCACGTTGACCCTTTTCACCACGAAGTCCTTGGGGGCCAGGCAAACCTGGAAGCCCCTGCCGGCCCTGCTGACCTAACACACCAGGATTCCCCTAGAAACAAATAGCAGTAGAATAATATAATAATATTATTGTAATACTCCCTGCAAATCTACAAACTCAGAAAAAGTGTACCTTTATTTACTCATAAATGGCACACACACACACTGTATATATATGTGTGTGTGTGTGTGTGTGTGTGCCATTTATGGGTAAATAAAGGTACCCTTTTTCTGAGTATGTAGCTTTGCAGGGAGTATTACTATAATATTATTATATTAATTAATATTAACATAATAATATTATAAACTATAATAAACTATATTCATTCTATTTTATCTTTGTTATTAAAAATAAGAACAGATGCAAAAAAACAGCAGAACAAATATAAGAAAGAAACAAATAGGCCTAGTGCATTACTTTTTTCATTTGACATCTAAACATAAGAATTCAAGTAAGAAAAACAAAGAATCAAATGTAAAAATCCCTTCAGCGTGTTCATTACAAATAAATTGATTATTAAAACTACAAAAGCAGAGAGTTATTCCCTCTTTTCTTTTATTGTTAGATTAACATTAATGTAACAGATGGCCAGTGGGTACTGACCACTTCCTGCTCGTTGCAACATGTCGACTTCGATTACGACATTTGCCAGCCCATGGCCAGCAACCGAAGCCTTTTGATGTCGTACGGCTCCGAGACCCAGTCGTATTGCAGCAGTACATTGTTGCAGTCCGGAATCACTTCAAACTATTGGCCCCCCCATACAACCTAGATTCTCGTTGGGAGCAGTTTCGAGACACTCTGGTAACCGTGGCAGAGGCGGCCATCGGTCGCCAACGGGGCACTTTCAGAGAATGCTGGATCCAACCTCCAGCGGTGGCGCCAGATAATTTTGAAAGCAGGTGCTGAGGGGGTGCTAGACCATTGACAGGGGGATCTGGGCAATTATTAGTAAATATGACCAAAAGATGTTATTATTATTATTATTATTATTAATAATAATATGAATAATAAAATAAATCGCACACTCGATTTTGTAACATTTTATTACATGATTATTTGGCTCATCACAATTTAATTAAATTTTTTCGTTTTATGAAATTAAACAAATAGCCTACATAGATCAGTCAGTTCCCAAATATTTTTATACAGTCCACCTAAAATTCAATTAGCATTTCCGAATGTGAGACAAAGGCAATATGACTTTAAAAATGCCTCCTGCATGACATGGAGGTGCACGCACAATCCCTTGCATTTTTTCCTGCGGAAAGAACTTAGAATATGCTACTCCGTCATTTTGGGTCATCCAGATAAGTGTAGCTTAATCGGCTACATCATTCGTAAAAAACTATTTCTGCTTTTATTTATGTACACTCACAATAACACCAAAATGTTGAGCTTTTGTAAAATAGAGAAAATAAACAGTGCTTTCTGCCAGTCTCCGTGAAATGAAGCGCGTCACAACAATGAACCACCTACTTGCCTGCTATTAAAGGCATGTATTGTGGAGATGGCGAGTCAGCGAGCGTCGGTATTCGGTAACTTCATCTTTGCAGCTGACACTGACTGAGAAAGTTCTCATTTATTAAATAATTAAAATGTATTTTTTTCCCCGGGCACATTCATAATAATTACTTTTGCCGGTCCTTTGTGGCAAGCGTTATGCGCGTGCTTGAGCACGGAATAGGCTATACGCCCATGCCTAAAGGATGGTTTAGTAGGTTATTATATCCTCCTCAGAACCAGAAAAAAAGCTTTGTGAATTTAGTATTTTTTCATGTCATTACATTGTTTAGAGCATAAGAAAAAAAATGGAAAAATAACATTTTTGAAAAATTATATTTTATTCATATGTTATGCTATGACCTCTGTAGAGCAGTGGTTCCCAAACCTGTCCTGGAGGACCCCTTGCCCTGCACATTTTGTATGTCTCTCTAATCAGACACACCCAATTTAGTTCTCGCAGTCTCTACTAACGAGCTAATGAGTGGAATCAGGTGTGTTAGATAAGGGAGACATACAAAAGGTGCAGGGCAGGGGGGCCTCCAGGACAGGTTTAGGAACCACTGCTGTAGAGGACACCAGGACTCAGTTTTTCTAAAAAAATTTAATGACATGAATAGACATGAAAAGGCAAAAACAATGGGATTTAAAAAATTAAATAAAATCACCAATCAATTTGTTAGGTTTCTGGATTTTTTAATACTAAACTTTGTATAAGGATGATTCTCAACTATGTTATAAATAATATAACAAAATGATTTGATATACCATTTTACTTTATGCAATATGTGTGTAAAATTTACATAAACTGGTTTGTCCATTAAACACAATGTTATCTATACACTGTACCTAATTTGCATATTAATGTGCTGTTGGGACAGCATGTTGAAAAAAGAAGTGTAATAATGGGAATAATAATTAGCCAGATTTTTTTTATAATAAAATCTAATATTTCATAAGAATACTGATACATCATTTTTTTTCATATTAATTTGTTGTGTCTCCCAAAATGCGTAATAAACAGGCTTTTAGTCCTGGTGTCCTCTACAGTGGACATGTATGAAATCAATATCCTGTTTCAAACCAGAAAGTCATATTTTGGTTTGAAACCCCATAACATTTTCCTGAGATGTTTATTTATGACAAACAATTTGAAAATTAATCAGATTTAAATGATAATTACAAAATATCATCATATTTCCATAAGGATGTACAATTTTTTCACTAAATTAATGTCAGCCATTTTAAAGACCAAGCAGAGGGAGTGATCATGGTGAAACCTCCAAACATTTGGTCTCTCTGAAAAGCCCTGAATGTGCTCCTTACATCCAGACTTAAAACTGTGACATGTGAGGTCTCAAAGAAATTCACTAAAATATAATGTCCACTACAGAGACAAAAACTCCATGGCTGGGTCTCAGGAGGATATTAATAATTTTAACATAAACGTGCAACTAGTTGACTAAAAATCTTTAGTCGGGGGCAAGCCTAGGAACCGCTCCATTTTTTAAAATAAAATGCTATAACATTATAAAAAGTGCGACTGCAAATCACGTCACGTTGCATTGTATGAGTTATGCATGCGTTATGAGTCAAATGCTTTTATTTTATTTCATTTTTTGGGGGTGCTTTGGTCTTTCTTGGGGGTACTGAAGCTGCTAGCCCCTCCCTAGCCGCCACCCATGCCAACCTCGATCTTGGGCATTGATAGATGAACGGCGGCATGCGAAGCAAGTCCGGGTCCAAGCATGCAGAGATATGGAACGCAAAGCTGCAGAGATGCAATATAGGGACTTGGATCAACAAGAAAAGCGAAGTTGCAGACATGACAAGCATGAGTGGGTCATTCAGAAAGGGACCGAGGCACAAGAAGCTGCAAATCACAATGATACGCACACGTTACATCGAATCGTTCGAGAGCTTACCTGCTCCCCATCTGGAAGCGGCACACCGATCAAAGATCGGGACGGCAGGGCCCTTCCTACTCAAGAAGAATGCGAGCGTCGGTGGGTTGAGAATTTCAAGGAAGTCCTAAACCAGCCAGTGCCAACCCCAGCATTTGATCCCAGCATCCTAAACCCTATAACTGATCTGCCAGTAAACCTTGACATGATCACAGCAGAAGAAATGAAAAATGTGATCCGGGCACTCAAGAATGGCAAGGCTGCAGGCCTGGATGAAATCCCGCCTGTACTACTCCTATCTGGTGACCAGTGCCTTGTTGATGCCCTGAAGGATTTGCTCAATGCTTGCTGGGCAACCTCAGTAGTCCCTGAGGAATGGAAACGAGGTGTGATAATCACACTCCCAAAAAAAGGTACCTGGAAAGGTATTTTCTATTGTCCTTCTAAACCGCCTTCGACGAGCTGTCGATGCCTGCCTTAGAGATCAACAAGTGAACTTCTGAAGGGGCAGATCCTGCTTTGAGTAGATTTTTGTTCTGCGACAAGTGATCGAACAATCACTGGAATCCCAACAACGGATCGCACTAAACTTTATCGACTTTGTCAAGGCCTTTGACTTAGTGCACCGAGAAACGCTATGGAAGATAGCCCGGGCTTACGGAATTCCATCTTGATTTGTAGACATCTTTCGCAACATTTACCAAGGCTCTCGATGCTGTGTATGGATGGAAGAAGGAATAACTGATTTCTTCGCGATTGAAAATGGCGTATGACAAGGTTGTGTGCTTTGCAGTTGGTAATCTCTTCCTCGCCAATCTAGACTTTGCCGATGATATTGTCATTCTTGGCCCGACCCAAACTGCTCTACGAGACCTCACTATGGCCCTAGAAAATCAAGCGGCTAGCGCTGGATTCCAAATTAATGGACAGAAGACCAAAGTCGTTCGCATCGGTTATGTAAACTCGAGAGTACCGATTACAATCGACGGAAAAGTGGAGGAAGTTGCAAACTTCACTTATCTTGGCAGTGTCGTCTCCTCAAATGGGGATGCAGAATGAATGAGATGTTATCTGCCGCATCGGCAACGCATCTGCCATGTTCCAGCAACTTCATCTAATCTGGAACTCGCCTTCCCTCCCTCTGCAGATTAAAGGGTTAGTTCACCCTAAAATGAAAACTTTGTCATTAATTACTCACCCTCATGTTGTTCCAAACCCGTGAGACCTTCGTTCATCATCGAAACACAAATGAAGATATTTTTGATTAAATCAGGGAGCTCTCTGACAATCCCATAGACAGCAATGCAACTGTAATGTTCCCAGGTCCAGAAACGTAGTAAGGACATCTGTAAACCAGTCCATGTGATATCACTGGCTCAACTTAAATTTTGCGAAGCTACAAGAATACTTTTTGTACGCAAAGAAAACAAAAATAACAACTTTATTCAACAATTTTTCTCCCCCGAGTTACCGTCTTCTGCCATTCTGGAGAGTATCACAATGCATACGCATGCTTTCCCCTAAGTGTAAAAAAAACGATGATTACGTTGATGTTTTTTTTTTCTCCTTCCTTATCTTTTTCTGTACAGCACTTTGGTTCCAGTCGTGGTGTTGAAAGTGCTTTATAAATAAAGTTTGCGTTGA